CTAGAGACAGCAGTATGTTATCCGCTTGCCAGTAAATCTACTCTTTGAACAGGAAATAAATCACTGTGGTAATGGTACCATATTTTTTGCCATTTTTTGTTAAACCTTTCCTTTCCACAAAGGAATAAGTTGACTGTCCAAGATAAAACAAGTTTGCAGCAGGTGCTGCAAAATATATAGTGTGAGCTGACAGACAAAACTGCCTCTGCAAACAGATAAATGCACCTTAGCACAAGCAGCAACACTGAAGTTCATTTAAGGATGCAGCAAAATAACTGACCAGAGACAGCAAATTTCAAAAGGGAAGGTATACGCCTATGAAATGTTCTATCACACCATCATAGGACCCGCTCAGAGGAAAACAAATGGATCATTAGGGTACTTCCCACACAGTTTTCTTTGCTTGGCAATGTGTAGATATAGCATTGGAGGAATGACACCTATAACCAAGCTTATGTCCTGTTATACGACTGCCACTGATTGATTTGAACTAATCAGCCACTGAACCCTAATTATAAACAATGCACTTGGCCTCCGCACAAAACGAAATTAAAAAATCGGCATATGCTCAGGTGAGAGCTCTGCTATGGCATGTTGAAAAGGACAAGATAAATTTTGATGCAACCCTATCCAGTCTTTACTTCTGTCACCTCGTGTCATTCTTGTCTAGCAACATCTTATCCAGCATCTTTACAAAGTGTCTATATTTATATTGCTTCATCTTAAAGCCAGCATTTTGCTTTACTGAGGTGTTTTCAGGCATGAAGGGAAGGATATGGAGTTCCTTGCTACTATTAAACGGAATCTATTATCTTTGGCTCAGTTTTTTTGTTTTAGTGAGATTATGCTTCTCAACAATGCAGCCATAAATGAAAAAGCTATACAAATAGGACAACACATTGCACTTCTGAGACCAAAATGAGCAGCAGAAGGGGATTTATCTCAGCCTGGAGAGGCTTTGTTGCTGGGGGGAAGAAACACACATTTCAGTATCTCGATGTTATATGGGGATTTTTTTTCAAAATGCTCTACCACATGCTATAGCCCCACTCATCCTTTACTGCAGTATGCTAGCAACAAAGCTTACTGCTTTCAGCAAGAATGAAGCTTATGCTGATGCAAACTTTTTAGATCCACTCATTAATCTAGCATCTGGAAGCCTGTTAATCAGAGCTACAAGGTTACTTTAACACTCCCAGTGGCTTACACTCCTCGGCAAGACTTCCCATTTTGTGAAACGATTAGTTACTGACTGTTACACAGAGAAAGAAGCTGAAATTTGTTACTGATTGTGCTCTCAGCAGCCATCCAGTTATAAAGAAATGCACCTGGAAATCACTTGTCTGAAGTGCAACACAATGAAGGTACTAAGTTGCCCATTACAGCTCCCTTCAGTCCCAACATGTGCTTAATTTTTGAGGTTATTGAACAGGCCATTTGAGACAATGTTAGCACTAATTTTAAAAATCTTTAGAGCCTTTATCTTGAATGTCAGCAGGCTCATTTGAGCCTGAGAAAGTACTGTGAACACTTATAATCTCCAGAGGATGGACAAAACCAGGCATTTATGTTCCGTCTTTCAAATTTGCCTTTGGTATCAGCCTTTGTTATCATTTAACTACAAGGCTGATCAAACCCAAAAAGGCAGACTAAAGTTTGTTTCTGGACTTTACTCCAGAGTTCCATATAAGACTGTTGAAAGAAACAGTTAAAAAATTTAGGCTGATTTTTCTGCATCAAAATTGAAATTAGGATTTGTGGGCTAATCTATACAAAACAGAGAAGTTGAGTACTGTGGAAGGGAAATTTCCCTTGAAGACATTTCTCAGATGCACTTGGGCTTTTCAAAATAAGAGATTTCTTTTTATTTTGACATAGTAGTGAAGTGAGAAACTTTAACAAAATAGATGTAGGGCTCTCAGCAGGATGGGCTCTCAGCAGGATAAGCTCTCAGCAGGATGGGCTCTTGAGATAAGGGAGGGGCTGCAACTACTGAGTCCCAAGATAAGGAACGAGGATTCAAGGAATTCTAAATTGACATGCTGAAAATACCTAATTGGGTGAAAAGTCTCGAGAGGAAGAGGAGGCATCTTCAGTCTTCATCCTGAAGACCTCCACCCAAGACCACCAGGAACCACTGCACAGACGCAATGGGAGGAACTCAGGGTGGGATTTATGATAATGAATTCTCAAAACTAATTGTAATATCTCTCCCTATTCTCGGGATTATAATGAATATGTAAACGTTTTACACTATAAAAAGGAGCTGCTTCTCGCTCCAAGGTGTGCACGTTTGTGGAGGAGCGATCCCCCATGCACCCAGCGCTGAATGAACACCCCTTCTTTCTAACCTTACTGGTTGTAAAGTCGTTACTCCACACGTCAGTAGGCATTCACTCATGTTCCGATACAATGATTTCAGGTGTATGTTCAGACAATTTGCTGCCTTAGGAGACAAGGGGTCTTGGAAACCACCAGCATCTCTTCACCTTTGCATCTGATTACAGACATATGTCTGAGCAATAGAGAAAGCATGCTCCTAACTAACAAATTAGTGCCACAAAAACGGATTATTCTGAGAAAAAAACAAGACTGTGAAGAAAGAATAAAAGTGTAATCATGAAACACATTCTTGTAAATCTTTCTAATCAAAAAAAAAAAATTATTTTAGGCCCAATCCACAGTCATTCCTAAAGCAAAGTAAGTGTCTCTTGAGACAAATGGTTATCTGTGCACAGCTTCCCCAAAGCTATTGTCTCCAGCTTTTGCATCAAGTCTTTTTATCTTCTGCAATTCAGGCACTTTAAGCAAGGAACATTATTCAGAAAACAGCTTTGAATAGTTCTAGTCACATTCCTCTGTGTCATCACTCTGCACTTTCCTTCCTCTGGCTGCTTGTGCCTGGTCCTGAGAAAAAGTCCTTTGGCATACAGCACTGCAGCTTGACAAACATTTTCGTGGGGAAAGCAAGGCCCTGAGACACTTACAGTGTTGTCCTGCTTTTGTCCAGGATGAAGTTAATTTTCATTGGAGTATTCCATACCATGCGGTGCCATGCCCAGGTTGGGGGTGTCTGTTCCTCTGGCAGTATTGTTCCTGGTGGGCCAGTCGCTGCGCTCGGTCAGCCACTGATGCATACCCGTTTTCTTTTTGAACTCACTATTGTTACTTTTGTTCTCTTGTTATATTTAGTAAATTCTTTATTTTTATTCGACCCACAAATTCTCTTCTTTTGTCCCTCCCCTATTTTACCGTGGGGAGGGGGAGGTAAAGGTCCAGCCATGTGGCATCTGGATGCTGCCTGCTTTCAAACTTCCACAGATTTTGGTGCCCAGTGCGGGGCCCGACGATACGACCCAGAATCAGGGCTGAGGTTCTGCAGAGCTGCGGCCGAGCGGCGTGCCACAGGCTGGCAGGCAAGGGGAAGGCATGGCCCTGCTCAGTGGGGGCACCCGGAGCAAGCACAGCCCCAGCACGACCTCGAGAGACAGCGGCACGGGCAGAGCCTCCCCTGCTGCTTGTCACAACCCCCTTGCACAACTGCTGTGCGGCTGGCGCAGGGCAGAGACAGGCGGCAGGCAGACACAGGCTGCCCTGCTCCTTCCCCTGAGCCCCAGGTGAGGCTGAGCCCCAGCCAAGGACGAGGAAGGATGGAAGGGAGGGTCCCCGCCACAACTGCTCTCACGCCGGCTAAGAAACATGAAAAGAAGGAGCACGGGAAGGAAGGTACTTAAAAAATTGTCGCCAGCAGAACACCTTCCCTGTTATTTTGGCCCTTTTGGCACCAAAATGTCTCCTTCCAACCCCTGCCACATCAACCAATAAAACAATGCCACAGGGAGGAGGGGAGAGAGGACACTACTGCCATAAATAACTTTCCCCTTCCCACCAGGATTCCTCAGCAGTAGGGAGCAGGCCGACCCTCACGTCACTTCTGAGCTACTTGACCACAAGTGGCCTCATCAGAAAGTCAGGGCCAGATGTAGGGACAGCCCCAGAGCCAGTATTTACCATCCAGGACAACCTGCAGAGCAAGAGGTCCTGCCTCGGCCTGCAGGCAGACCCTCCTCAGTGGTGGTGAGTGCCGCTCTGTGACAAGGCGGGATACTCACGCTCGTTGTCCTTGGACACCAGGCAAGGCCAGCACCAGCCTGCACCGCCCGTGCATTGAGGTGAATCATGACTAAAGCAAAATGGCCATGAGGAATCGTTTGCCTGCCATCCAGCCCATCTCACTTCCAGCTTTGATTAGACAAAACAAGAAAGTTCTCCCTTTCAAGCAGATGCTAGTGCTCTGCTTGCCCAGCGTTCTGGGCTGGGACTAGGAGCTCCCCAGACATTAGCTACTTCTCCTCAGGAGTCTCAGCGTTGCTCAGGGATGGCACAGGGACGACACTAATGACCGAGGGGTGGATTTAACCATGGATGCTATTGCACAGGTAATCCATGAATGTGAGACATATGCTATGACCAAGCAAGCCAAACAGCTAAAACCCATTTGGTATGGAGGACAATGGTCAAAGTATAAATATGGGGAGGCCTGGCAGATTGATTATATCACGCTCCCACAAACTCGGCAAAGCAAACACTATGTGCTTACAATGGTAGAAGCAGCCACTGGGTGGTTGGAAACTCATGTAGTGCCCCATGGCACCGCCTAGAACACCATTTCAGACCTTGAGAAGAAAGTCTTATGGTGGCATGGCCTGCCTGGCATGACACGCCAGAAGGAATTGAGTCAGATAATGGGACATGTTTCTGAAACAACCTCATAGACACCTGGGCCAAAGAACATGGCATTGAGTGAATATATCACATTCCCTACCATGCACCAGCCTTTGAAAAATTGAGTGATACAAGGGATTGCTGAAAACTACACTGAGAGCAATGGGTGGTGGAACTTTCAAACACTGGGATGTGTGTTTATCAAAAGCCACCTGGTTAGTCAATACCAGAGGATCTGCCAAGCAAGCTGGTCCTGCTCAATCGAACCTCCTACATACTGTAGATGGGGATAAAGCCCCTGTAGTGCGCATTAGGGATATGTTGGGGAAGGCCGTCTGGGTTACTCCTGCATTGGTTAAAGGTAAACTCATGCGCGGGATTACTTTTGCCCAAGGACCTGGGTGCACTTGGTGGGTGATGCAGAAGGATAGAGAAGTCTAATGTGTACCTCAGGGAGATTTGATTTTACGTGAGAATAGCCAATGAAGTGGACTGTCAGATAGCCCTGTTATTGCATTTAGTACCTTGCAACATTCCCGTGCCACATCCAAAGCCTCCTGCTCCACCGACTGAGCCAACTCCACCTCATTCCTCAGCCTTATAGACTGTCATAATAGATGGAACCCAAAGTTATGGACCAAATGAACTCAGCAAACATTGTGGAAGGATGGCCCATGGACTAAGGGAATGATATCTGTGAGACCTGAAAAAAAAAAAAAAAAAAAAAAAAAAAATTGGAAACCTGAGCATAACATCAATGTTATGGAATAAGGGGTGGAGACTGTCCTGGTTTCCACCAGGATGGAGTTAATTTTCATTGGAGTATTTCACACCATGTGATGTCATGCCCAGGTTGGGGGGTGGCTCTCACTTCATCTGCTGTTGGACAGTATAGTTGCTGTGGGGGGTGGTCACTGCGTTCGGTCAGCCACTGTTGCATTTTACCCGTTTTATTTTTGAACTCACTATTGTTACTCCTGTTCTCTTTTTATATTTAGTAAATGCTTTCTTTTTGCTCAACCCACAAATTCTCTTCTTTTATCTCTCCCCTATCTTAATGCAGGGGTGAGAGGGAGGCATCTGTCTGCCAGCTGAGTTCAAACCTCCACAAGTGTCTTTAAGAAGTAGAAATGAGCACCGGTGTGAAAATATTTTTATAAAAATGAATGAACTTTTAAAGCAAAAGTACATTTTGATTAAATGAACAAATGCTGGTTTGCCTCTAGCACTCTTCTTTTTGAGGAGGAAAAACCCAAACCCTCTTCCTCATCAGAAATCATGAAAATTACTTGTCTTCTTCTGAGTTTTATATCTAAACATCAGGATTTTCTCTGCAGTTTGTCAGCTTTGGAGGAATGTACAAGAATAATTTTTAAATATGGTTTGTACTACGGATAAATGCATGGCGCTCTATACTATGTCGAAGTCACTCCTAACTACGGAATTAAGCTGGCAAGAAGTACAGACTACAGATCTCAGCCAAAATGGAGAAGGGAAGGTGCATCAAGTAGCCCTCTGCACAAGAAAAAACAGAGGGAAAGCACACAATAAACAATTTCTAGTTTCTGTATATTAAGCCATTTATATTTGATTTTGACACGATCAGCAAATATGATTTAGTTATTTGTCTTTCTCTTAGAAAATGGAATATGGCCATTTTCCCAGTTAAGAAGGATTATCTGTAAATCACCAGTACTCAGTCTTCCAGGGGACATTTCAGTTCCTTTTCATTAACCGTACTAAATATAAATTGGAGGATTTTTTAAGAAGTAAACTGTTACTAAAGTGTCCATAGTGATTGACAGAAAAAGTGTAGTCTTCTCACCTATCCTTAGATATTTGTAACTCAGTCATGAACATGTGAGCCAGTCACCTCAAACTAACTCCTGTTATAGTCACTGGGAAGAAGTGGAGCCAGTCAGATCCATCTGATTGTGTTTAGGACAAAATTAATCACACTCTATAATTTGCAATTATTCTACACTGAGTGCAAAGGAAACCAAGACAACTAGCTCAAATATATGTCTACATCTGGTAAAAGGAACCACTATAAAATTGTTCAGTGACATCAGCAGACAGAAATTACTCCCAAATCTGTACTGAGATTAATGAAGAATGGTAATATTTCTACTGTTTTGTAAGGAGTGTATAAGGGAATATTACATTATATGGTCAAAAAATTACAGGAAGGTTACTGTTTTTTATTAAAATCTAGAGGACAATAACCTATTTTGCAGTCACCAGTCTCTCCCTCCATTTTCTTCATATACATTTGCAACCCAAAGCCACTTAATATGATCCCAGGCACAGTCTTTCCTGCATCTTTCATCTCCCTGTAGTGTTGTTCTTCCTTTGTTATAATCTATTATGGACAAATGGTGATTAGAGAGGTCTTCATAGCTAACCAGAAACACATACAGAGACTGGAGTGGGCCTGGGAAAGTTGTCTTGCACATAATTAACAACAGAGCAGGGCTGCCATCCTCCTTGTCTGACAGTTTAGATTGAGGAATTCAGTTCTTTATCTGAACACATGCCAAAGACAAGTGATATGCCAAGCCCCACACAGGATATAGGGAAAAATACACAGAAGGGGTATTTCCCTACCATTTCAAATGACTTCTTGCTAAGCAGTTCAACTCTGAAGTACATCATTTGAATGAAGCACACATGTGCCTTCGGGTGGCAAAATCAGCTCATGTAAACGGTGCTAAGTCACAGAGAAATAACCTGACTTTCCAATGGCTCCGCACACTTCCCCTAGTTACTTTTTCAGCGCAGACAATGGAGTAACGTATTGGATATAACTCCTCACTCTCCACGCAAGTGTTTGGATGCTGAAACCCAGGTAGTCCCAAGTCATGTAGCTTTATGTCCTGTAGTTTCTTGCTTAAAACCCCATCCTGCACTACCTCTACAGAAGTGTAATTAAAAATAATGTCTTCTACAGGTATGCACACACAGCCAAAAAGTGAAGCTATTTTTATGCCCTGCTTCAGCTTTTCCCACAGATCTTTGGTGGAGAAACAACACCTGGCTTAGGTCTGTTGCAGTGGGTGACTCTTATTTTGTGAAAGTTTGGCACAACTTTTATATAGATTCTAAACCATATTCTTGAGTGTACTGAGCCATTAATGTCTTTGTCTTTTGGTTTTAGTACTTTACAGTCATAGCAGATGTTTAGAAAATTGTGTTCATAGGATTGAATCCATTGCATCTGCTTCTTCTGATACATGCTGCTTTTCTAGCTCATTGCACTCTCTTTAAATTAAAAGAAAAGCCAAGAAATCTGATCTCATGCTTGACATTAATCAGAAAAAAAAAAAAAAAAAATGCTTACATGTACTTATAGGAACTTGTTTGTAAACCAGAACAAGAATTGCAATGAAAAACTTGCTCAGGGTCTCTGAATGATCATTGTTCATCTCTGTCATTTGACTGAAAACACCATCTAAATAAGGAGAAAACATACTATTAAATGATGGTTGGCATTAACATCATCACACAACAATTATCATAGGAGGCAGGGTAGCCTCGTCAGCAGCAGCAGCATAGTGCAGGCTGCCTCGTCTTCAGCCTTTTCCATGGCTTTGAACTCCAGGCTTCATTTTAGCTATCTGTAGACAGGAGAATAGGACAACTGTTCTTACTCCTGCTGTTAAAGAACTTTGATCTCATTTGGTAATACTGATTCATAAAAGAGCTAGCTGTCATTATATTTCCCAGTTGTCCATTTTACCATCTTGTGATAAGTTTGCCTTGAAGACAAGGGAGACCAAGGATCTTGCTATCTTGACTTATATTTGCTTTGTTCAAATTGGCTATACTATTGTCATTTCTTGTGCAGCTAAAAGCATACCAGTACTTAGCCAAAATTCTCTGACTATATGGAAATCACATACTGGAGAAACTTTGACTTCTCCCCACACAGGATTTACCCAGAGTTCTGCTGGGCCGGGAGACATCACTTGGTAAGCCATTTCCAAGGTACTCACCCTGAATCTTTAAGCTATGCCCTTTTGGCTTCAATTTATCCCATGTAATGTGGGGTTTCTAAGATGCTGACATTCTTACTTGCCCATTGAATGTACTCACCTCTCCCCTTTGGCTATGCTCCAAGGCACATTTTACTTAGCTTTGTGGTTTATCTATATATTGGAAAAGAAGATCACTTGGAGGGTATAGTAATTGATCCATTGGTAAAACCAAAGCTGGGATTTAGACTGGAAGTATCAGCATCACAGCCAAAATATGCAACAGGTGCCTACCAAGAAATATTTAATGGATGATTTTTTTGTTCCAGAGATACCAGGCTATTTTGCTACACCTAGATTCTAAAAAAGTTAGGTACCTATTATAAAACATTTATGTATACTTTATCACTGGAGAATCAGAGGTAGCTTTATGGAACAATTTGTTCTACCATCCCAGAAACCTTCCTTAAAATGAGATGGATAGCTCTCTGGAGCTCACTTTATCTTTTTTTCTCTCATGTCTACAAAGGAAACTTAAGATACTCAGTTGCCCACACATGAGTATTTCATCCCATTTCAGAAACCCTAGATAATCTAAAACATCCATAAGGGACTGCCAGGTATGGTGCAGGATCTACAGGTATTCTTCTGGCACAGTAGAGAGAGACAAGGTGGAATATTTTAGATCATCTCAAATTGCAGAAAACACTTTGTATTTGGGCAGCTGACCCAACTCTATATGAATTATTAGCTTGGAGTAGACTTCCACCTTTACATGGCTAAATTTGAGTGAGGTTAATCCTGCCTCCAGTGCTCAATTTGGGTGTTTGGGGCTGGACTTGGTTGCTCACACAGTCCAATATCATTTGAGATGCTTTAGAGTATCCTGTCTGCCACTAGTTGCCACTCCAGGACAGAGCTCTTATGTAGGTCCTGCATCATATCTACCTACCAACATATCCTTTTACACTAGACACCTATACATCTGCAGCTAACTCAAGTCAATATCTACATTCTCTCAGTTCAAGAGATTCAATCCTCTGTTATCCAGGCCTACCAAATTTGGCTCTGTTTCAAAGAGAAGTAGCCAGGCATAAAAAATAGACATCTATTCTGCTTACAACCAGACATTTCCTATAGTATTGCCTCTTTTCAACATTGGAAGTATCTGTGTAGCCTATCATTTCTGCCAAAACCCATAAAGAGCTATATTTTTACATTTGCTTGCTGAAATTCAAAATGTTTTTGTGATGCATTATGTTTCCCAAGCTGTGATTCAGCATGAAATATAAGGACACAAGTATACTCAGATCAAAATGGCAGGAAGTGGTCCCAAGTACCTCTGCAAAGAGAACCTCCATTACACTTAATTTGTATAAATGTAAGTAGAGAGAAATAAAAAACACAGACATCCCAACAATTAATAACAGGAGAAAAGGAATGCTGGCTACGAGAGCCATGCTGTAGCTCAGGAAACAGAAAAGGAGAACCAAGGAAAAAAAACATAGAGAAAAATGTTGAACTATAGAGGTTTAAAAATGTATAAATAACTGGGTGATGGAAAGTATCAGTGTAAACATCCCCTGTAGCAAAGGAGGCCTATGTACTTCTAGGGAGAGGAAGAACTGTACCCAGTAAATTATGTAAAAGACAGGAAGAAATGTTGATATCAGCCTGTCATGTCAGTGTTGAGTCTTGTTGAGGCTTGAGTGAATAACAGGCTTGGGTTATGTACTTTTGTTCTGATCAGCATTTTGAAAATATCACTGGAACACATATATTGCTAATGGAAGTCAAATGCAACAGAAGTGTTAGTTTGGAAAATGCTGTATAAAATGTCATGCACATGCTTACTATTGATCATAGAATGGTTTGGGCTAGAAGGAATCGTGAAGATCATCTAGTTCCAACCCTTCTGCCACAGGATTCACTAGCCCAGGTTGCTCAAAGCCCCGTCCAACCTGGTCTTCAGCACTGCTAGGGAGGGAGCAGCCACCACTTCTCTGGGCAACCTGTGCCAGTGTCTTACCACACTCACGGTAAAGAATTTCTTCTTTATAGCTAATCTGAATTTGCACTCTTTCGGCTTAAAAACATTACCCCTCATCCTATCACTACAGTACCCAATAAAGAGTCCCTCTCCATCTTTTCTGTAGCCTCTTTAAGTACTGGAAGGCCGCTGTACAGTCTCCCCAGTGCCTCCTTTTCTCCAGGCTGAACACCCCCAACTCTCTCAGCCTGTCCTCACAGGGGAGATGCTCCAGCCCCCTGATCATCTTTGCTGCCTCCTTTGGACCTGCTCAAACAGGTCCATGTCCTTCTTACAGTGAGGCCCCCAGAGCTGAACACAGTGCTCCAGGTGGGGTCTCATGAGAACAGAGTAGAGGGGGAGGATCACCTCCCTCGACCTGCTGGCCACACTTCCCTTGGTGCAGCCCAGGACACGGTTGGCTTTCCGGGCTGTGAGCACACATTACTGGCTCTGTCAGTTTTTCATCCACTAATACCCCCAAGTCCTTCTTCG